CCCCAAAACCCCAAAACCCCAAAACCCCAAAACCCCAGCTTCTTGGAATTCATAGAAAATACTTTAAGATTATTACGTTAAATTAGATATATTTGGTGAATCGAGCTATCCTTACTCGATTCCTTTTCTACAAATTGGGCATGTATTGTGTTGCTTGAGCCAAGTCTCCCCACATTTTCTATGGAAAGCATGCTCACATGGGAGCTGAATTGCCTTGTCTTCGATGTCTTCTATTCAGATTGGGCATTTGTGCTCCCCTTCTTTCACTGGCACTTCTTTGAGTCCAGCAATTGCTTCGTCAGATGCAGGTGGAACTCCATTGGTTCTAGCTTCTCTGAATGAGGCTTCAAGGATATTATTGATGTTGAAGCCGCCCATTCCACCCATTGTTGGGAAAGCTGGACCCATGAATGAGTCAAATCCAGTGAAGAATCCTTCAAATGGGTTTCTCCGAGGTCTCATAAAGGGCATTTCAGGGAAATCGAAGAAACTTCCATGAGAAGATGAACTATCTCCTCCAGAGGAGACTGTCTCAGTGATGAACATTCCTCCAGGGACTATTCTTCTCCTTGTTACTGTAATAGTTGGATGAGCATGTGCTCTGCTTGGTCTCTCTTGTCTCTGAGGTACTTCACCTCTTTCTGGTCTGAAGGAAGTCACCTCTTCATGATTATTCCTGGTGATTTCTTCTACGAATTCACTGTTGCATGAGTCGCAGACAGCTCCTTCGTCTGATTTGATCATCTTAGTGAACTCATTGTTACATGCATGTCAGTGGAACTTTTTAGTCACATAGCTATAGGAAGAATTCTCATTAAAGGCTTCCATGTTGGTGTTGTCAATCATATTTGTTAAGTGAATTTTTATTTATTATTTAACAGAAAAGTTTATATAGGTGTTTTTAATACTCTCGAATGCATTCTAGAAGATTCTGGAAATAGTTTAGTGTTGATAAATGAGTATTTCAATTCTAGAAAAATGAGCTGGGGTTTTGGGGTTTTGGGGTTTTGGGGTTTTGGGG